CCTCAATCTATAACATTCTAAAAGTTAATGAAGCAGACAACATGTGAGTGTCAAGTACCGTGATAACTCATTTGTTCTGCAACCCTGGTGAAGATGGTTGAACTTGACAAGAAGCTTTGAATGAAGATAGTTGATGCGTACAAACAAGGTGACAGGTATACAACACTTTCCAAGTGTTTAAATGTTCCTAGATCGACAATTCGTAGCATTATCAAGAAGTACAAAGAGAATCATTGTGTTGAGAATAAATTAAGAACTGGCAGAAAATGGTTAATTTCTGAGAGAATGGAAAGGAAATGATGTCTCAAAGATTCCTCATGTAACGACAAAGGACATTGTCAATGATGTAAAGAATTACGGGGTTGAATGTATCAACGAAGACAGTCACTAGATGCTTTCATTGAGCAGAACTTTCAGCTTATCACCTTGCTTAAGGCTAAACCCCTAAAATGTATATTAGCTTATGCTAGAAGTCATCTAGAACATGTGATTAAATATTGGAATTCTGTTTTATGGTAAGATGAAACCAAACTAGAATCATTTGGTCACATGAAATCCCGTTATGCATGGAGGAAAGTGAATGAAGCTCACAAACCAAAAAGTACCTTCACTACAATTAAGTGCAGTGGTGGGAACATTCTGCTTTGTAGATGTTTTGCTGCTTCTGGAGCAGGAGAACTAGTGAGAGTGCAGGATATCATGGACAAAGAGCAGAATTTGGATATTCTTAAAACTAATATAAAACGAAGTGCACAAATGTTGTCTTTGGGGCATCACTGGAAATTCCAACATGATATTGATATAAAATACATGGCACAAATTATTACAAAATACTTAAATGACAGCAAAATTAAGGTATTGGTGTACCCTGCACAAAGTCCTGACCTAAACCCCATTGAAAATTATGGGCATATTTGAAGAAAAAGTAGGAGAAATAAGTCCTTCAAAATTTAGAGGAAATAGAAGCTATTGCCAAGGAAGAATGGAGCAAAATACCTCTCAGTTCCTTACAAGATCACTAAACACACTATCAAAAATAATTAAGGGTAATAATCAACAATAAAGGTTACACAAATGATTATTGTGGCAAGAGGGCCAATAATTTTGTCCTGTTTTTTTTTAGGGGGGGGGGGCTTATTGTATTATTGTTTGACAACTAAAATAAAGATTTTGTTGTGTGCATCACTTCACATTCTTTCAAATACTTATTTCATCATTTCTGAAAAAATGCACATGAAGTTTCCAACAAAATTTGAGGTATTATATTTGTAATTACGGAAGTGGTGTGAATAATTCTGTCCACAATTGTGTGTGTGTATATGTGTATTTTTTAATTATTTCATCACAAGCAATATGATAAAAAACATGTAAATGCAAGGGAATCAAAATGAGAAAAAGGAAATATAAGAGAGAGGACAATAAAAGAACAGAATTCAAGGAGACAGAAGATGACATTTGACATTGCAGTTAAATTTTTGAATATCATAGTTGACAGAAAAGCTGGAAGCCAAAAGAGTGTTCCACAAGTGAGAAGTGAAGAAGAAGAAACTATTAGCAGAGAACATATAGTTACAACAATCAATTTCAACAGTGAATGTATTCCAATCTAGTACTGTACTTAAATTTGTGAAGTCAATGTACCAAAGAAGACAGCTCATCAGAACAATAGCCATAAAACTATTTATAGAAAAGGCAGATGGAAGCTACATTATTTTAGGGAAAATGACTGAAGCTGAAACATCAGGACTGATAACATTTCAAATTCTTTTTGGGATTTTGTTAAGAATCTCAAGACATAGCAGAAACACCAGACCAGATATGGCAGCAATATTCAATGAATGAACAAATGGTAAACTTATAAATGTGAAAAATAAATTCTGGCAAGAAAAATTGTCTAGCAAACCAACTTTTCTGGTAAGTTGTATCAATTATTGTCAGTAGTATTCAGCTACAAAATTGGTCTCAAATGCTATGTAAGCTATTCAATGTATTTGGGAAATGAAAAGAAAAAAAAATTTCTGATTGTGCTACCCTCAAACTTGTTCAGGCATTTTAAGAGTGGTGTCTTAACATATGGAATAAAACCTGGTTGTCAAATCAGTTCTACAATGCCAAAGAAAGAAGAACCAGCAACATTTGAAATTTTTTACAAGAGTTCAGATCACCAAGTGATAAAACACTTTTAAAACACTCCAGTATTATAATGATATGATGAGATAACTTCTCTCATTACACAGTAAAATAAGGTGCCTTCCCACCACAAAAAGTGTGTTTGTTGAGGAGGAAGGGAGTTATGGTTTCGTTTCTTTATCCTAATTTGCTAATCATATCTTCTATGTGTCATGTCCCTTCAGAACATAGGCGATCATGGCCCTCCATGTCTTCCTGTTCCTTGTAGCTCTTAATAAGTTTTTATCCTTTTGTTATTTCTCCCAAACTGTTCTGCCATCCATTTACTCAAGCCTATGAAGTATGCTATGTGCTGCTTTGTTCCTCCCTCAATCTGTCCTGTGAGTATGAGGTTTTCTGAGGCCTCCTTCCTCATGCCCCAGAAATTTCAACTGCCTCTTCCTGATGTTAAATATAAGTTTCCTTTTTGTTTCCATTTTCTCTAAAACCTCATCATTGCTCACATGTTCATCTCAGGGTATCCTCAGCATCTTTCTGTAGAACTATATTTCTGTTACTTCAAGTTTCTTCTTCATCTTTCAGGAGATTAGAAAAAAAAATGGCTTAGTTAAAGGGTGAAATTTTAACCAGAAAAGGGATAGGGGTGGGGGTGAATAAGGTGGTCTTCATTTGATACATTGATAATAGAATTTCAGTTTTAAAATCTGAAACTCATTTTGTTTTCTTGATATGAAATCCTAACTTGTTAATCATATCACCCCTAAAAAACAAACAAAAATACACTAAAAATGGCTTAGCTATAAAATGAAACTATAACCAGAGCAAAAAAAAAAAATTGTTTCTTTGTTCCAGCGCGTCCATTCACTTCCTGTTGGTGTAATAGTAAACTTGTTTTTCTTAGTTGGCATTATTTGCAAGTTGTACAAGAACTAGAGAAGAGCAAGATGCGAGCACCGTGAGATTTGGGAGAGGCGGGCAAGGGGGGTATGGAAATTGTTCATTGAGAGGTAAACTGTTTACATGGATGTTAAGAAGGATATTGCAAGTTTTGACAAAACAAGGAAGCCGAGTTTGGTTAAGTCTTTCAATCTATTCAAGATTCTTAAACTGATTATAGCAGACTGTTGAAAATTAGCATTTCTTTTTTTTTTCTTCTCTTCTTCAATGTTTCTCATTTTACTTTTCTCTCTACATCAACTGCTTTCTCCATCTCTATCACTCTCGTTTCTAATAACTACCATTATATGCTTGTCAAGTCAAGCATAACGAACCACAGTTAATATGTAACACAGATTTTGAGTTAACCTTGAGTGTTGTCATGTTTTAATGGCATAAGAGGATTTTGCTAGAAGACTTACCTTAGTGAGGATCACAAGGAAAAGATAAAAATGCTAAAAGCAAAAAATTTCTTTTACACATCCATTAAAGATGATGGAAACATTCAAAGATCAGAAGTTCTTACTTTAGGATTTTCAAAGAACCTAAATTCTTTTCTAATAAGAGTTTCGTTGGAATATTTCCACTAGAATTGTGAACATCTTGTTAGGATTTATACCAGTAGAAATTTTTCCTTATTAAAGATTCCGTACTCTGGTTTTCACTTGACTGGTTTTGTTTCATTTTGATTTAAATTTGTGTGTTTGTTTCAATTTTGTATCTGCCATTCCTTTCTGACATCTTTGAATGGCAACATTTCTTCTTAATACAACTCTTTCCACTTTTAACAAGTTGTCATTATTAATGGTTCGATACACTGAAACACGGAAACATATCAGATATGAGAGTGATTTCCATCAACGAGAGGCTGACATTTGTGCTTTATTTTCTGATTAGCTCGACCAAAATTCTAACTAAATTTTCTCTTATGGTAACACATCGAGAAAGAGATATTAATATTGCTCAATCTTGTAAAATATTATGAGATACTGATCAAAGTGAAAAAAAAGAAGAGAAAAAGAATATGTAGATATAAAAAAATAAAGGATTTAATTCTAATATCAATACAAAGCTTGAATGACATTTTAGTTTTCCATCTGCTAAAAGATAATATTAGTAATTTGTATAGGTTCACTGATCAATAAATGAATGCAAAATAGGAAAACTGTCAACACATGATTGTTCAATAAAATGGAAATTGTTTTTAATATTCAAAAATAATTTAAAAAGATAAAAATTTAATTCAAATATATTTGTCATTTCTTCTTTGACAGAGTTGTGGAGATTCTTTCAACATTATATATATATATATATAAAGTGTTGTTCTAATTGCAAGGTCCTTATCAAAAATTCAAATTAAAATTTTCATTTGATTTTTCCCTGAGGAAGTGTAAGGCTTAGTTCTTCCCTGACAGCTTATTCATTAAGTATACAAGATTCTTGTCCGTAATAGTAAATCGCTACGAGACTGAGAAAACCTCCAGAAAAAAAGCCAATGTAAGTCTGTGATAGCTTCATTTCTTTTTCTTCTTATTTTGAAAAATCAGGTAAAATGAAATTAAAATACAAAATGGCAGGCATGGAAAAGGAGCTAGGAAAGAATCTTTGTTTTTATTTTCTGACCTGATTTTTTTTTTTGTTTTGCTTTCTTTTTTCTTCTGTTGCCACAGAAGTCTTCCCATACGTGCAAAATGGCAGTACCATATCGCTGGTGATATATGAATTAATGGAGACATTGTCAGTTGAGAAATGTTTCTGGAATATATTATTTTCATTTGTCAAGGAAACAAAGACTGAAAATAATTTAATAAAAATTTATTAGCATGTACATTTAATGTCAATTGTAATTAACTGCAAGAAATAATTACTTCAGTCAGTTGTTAACTCTGGTGTTAGTTTTTTTTTTTTTTTTTTTTCTCTCTCTCTCTTACTCTTCAACCCACCCCCATCTTCAACTTTCTCTTGACATCTATGTCAGGGAATGAAGAAAAAGCACAATAAATAGATTTAAAAGAAAAAATGGAAAAAAGAAATAAAGCAAGGAAAGAGGGTAGAGAGAGAGAGATAAAGAGAGAGAGAGAGATAAAGAGAGAGAGAGAGATAAAGAGAGAGAGAGATAAAGAGAGAGAGAGAGAGATAAAGAGAGAGAGATAGAGATAAAGAGTAGCGTGAGATAGAGATAAAGAGTAGCGTGAGATAGAGATAAAGAGTAGCGTGAGATAGAGATAAAGAGAAGGTGGAGAGAGAGATAGATAAAGAGATAGAGAAGAAAGAGAGAGATAGATAGAAAGAGAAGAGAGAGAGAGAGAGAAAAGAGAAGCGTGAGAGAGAGAGAGAGAGATAAAGAGAGAGATAGAGAGAGAGAGAGATAAAGAGAAGTGGAGAGAGAGAGATAAAGAGTAGCGGAGAGAGAGAGAGATAAAGAGAGAGAGAGAGAGAGAGAGAGAGATAAAGAGAAGAGGAAGGGAGAGAGAGAGAGATAAAGAGTAGCGTGAGAGAGAGAGAGATAAAGAGTAGCGGAGAGAGAGAGAGAGAGATAAAGAGTAGCGAGAGAGAGAGAGAGAGATAAAGAGTAGCGTGAGAGAGAGAGATAAAGAGTATAGAAAGTGTGATAGAAAGAAAAAGATTAATGAAAAAGGAGAGAGAAAGTGTAGAGAAAAGGAGAAAGAGAGAAAATGGTGAAAAAGAGGGAAAGAGAAAAAAGAAAAAAAATTACTGGAAAGAATTTGCTTCTTCAGGATGTACTGTTCGAGATATTTTGCATAGTCACAAAGTGACAATGAAGAAAAATAGTGTAACCGCATCGTTCAAGTAATTAAATTCCGACAACGTAATTATAAGGGAAATTATGAAGAAAATAATAATACCAAAAGGCATGTGCACTAAAACAAGGCTTATTAAACTGGTACTTGCATATCAGCAAGAGGAAAGTTAAAAACAATTCCCACAAATACAACAAAAAGTCTTTAAAAAAAAAAAAAAAAAAAAAAATGAAACAAAACTAAAACACTATTGTTATCTATCAGGTTCATTAGTTTGCCACGACAACCCAGTCATCTTAACCTGGTTGTTTTGTCCAATTTTAATTTTCTCTCAAGTCCTTTTTTACTCTGAAAACAAAATGGATTTCAAGACAATCTTGAGTTGTATGGACTGAATTCAGGATCCACTGTAATTGCTGCAGAATTCAAGTGGAATAATACCTTTATTTAAAATGGTCTTTATGTTGAAATTCAGTTTCTATTTTCAACTTCAGCTTTAAAGATTATGTCTGTGTAAACCATGATTATTATGGATAGGATTTCTTAAAAATATAAACATAAAAAATATATATATATAGTGGTGTAGAAAATAATTTGTTATATTTTAGCAACAACAGCATTTGAACTTGGTAGAGAGAAGCTCAGTTTTAGCTTTGGACCAAGAATAAATTTTAGTAATTTTTTTTACTGAAAATTTTTTACATGTTTCAGTACTCAATCTCTTTGTGCCTCAAGAATCAATAAAAAAGGTGATTGTCAGTAATCAAGATTTAAACCAAGCATTGCTGACAAAACAGGATGGTCCTACATATACTGGTTTTAAGCATTAGGATTTACTAAATGAGAATGTTGCCCATAATCTGACAATGTTTTAATATTGGTGCTATACATTTGGCATTATCACTAATATCAAGTGATTTTTTTTCATTTTTGGGTATCAATACTTCAGCTTTTATAACATATGGGTAAGGACTCAATACTCACTTGACCTTTGGACTGAGATCACAGTTAACTAGCTGCTTCCAGATAAATATGATACCTAAGGTTTAAAATGAATTTTTAAAAATGAAAAATCTTTCTTGAAGCTTTTATTTTAGTTTTAATTTCAAGCTAATAAATTAAATGTAATATTTCCAATAAGCAAAATACCTTTTCTGAATTTAAAAACTAATTTAAAATGACTGGAAGTTTTCATTTTAAAATTGCTAAAATCAATGATTTTAGCACTATTTTTAGCCATCTGTCATCATGACGTAATTCTTTTTATTAAAAATCTTTAAAAAATAAAATATAATTTTGTAAAACTTCATTTCAGGAATATTAGCCGATTTAAAGTTTAATTAATCTGATTTGAAAAAAAGTATTACTTACTTTAAGCTTAAAATATTGCAGAAATGCATGCTTTAACATGGCAGTAGTTCTTTATTTAAGGTGTTGACAACTTGACTAACAGACAAGTTTTATTGAATTTTTTCTATGGTGGATATATAAGTAAAAATTACTTGAGGAATATAACAGAAGTGCCTATTTTATATAATTTTTAACTACTATTACCTTATTCTCTGCAATTTAATTTTTTATTAAATTTTAGGTACTTTAGCTTTAAATGTACTATAGTCATTACTCATACTATCTGATAATGTCATGTATAGATATCTGTATTTACAAAAAATCGACGCATACTAAAAAAATTAAAAATTCTTTTTAAAATATTGGGAGTTACTAAATTGTAATAAGCTTTTCCATCTATGATTAATAAATATTTTTTACTTAATAACAATATCATCTAACCAAGTCAAATTAAAACAGAATTTTAAATGATTTAAACCTTTTTAAATTTTCTAATTAAAATTTAAAAAAAAAAAAAGAAAATTGTTGTAAAATTTAATTATTTATCAAAAAAATTTTTTTCTTAAGACAATAGTGCCTAAAATATATTTTATTCATAAAAGCATTTAAAAGCTTTTCTAACTAAATGTTTTATTGCATTTTTTATTTTATGATTTCGAGCAGATTTTCAGTAAATTGGTAGTCCAGTTTTACTAAAAGGAAATTAATTTAAATTCTCCAAAGATTTCTGCTTATAACTAATATAAGTATTAAGCAAAAGTTAATTTCTTAAAATTTCATAAAATTAAATAAGCTGGGTTAACAGAAAATATTTTTACGAAGATTTTCTAAAATAAAAAAAAAAAAAAATTTCTAAAATAATTTAATATATTTGTGAATAAGTCCTAAAAGTTTAGTCAAAATGTGACAATTATTTGATTTTTGCATCAATTTCCATATCAATGTGTTTTTTGCTGCAAAAAAAGATGTTAAAATTTCCTATACTAATCTTAAACATAAATTATTACTATTTTAAGTACACATATATTGGGGAGGGTATATAAAAAAAAAAAAAAAATCAAATATAAAACTAGCTATCTTGTCTCCACTGTTAGATTAAAACAAAAACATTAGTATGACTTTTGTACATTACAAAAAAGGTGATTTGAGATTTTACATATACAGAATAGGGAAGCAAAACATGCAAAAATATTGTGATCTTCGAAACTCACTTTTTATTCACAAATAAGTCTTAATACAAAAGGATATTAATAAAACATAAAATAATATCAGAATTAATATGGCTTCTATTATTTTCAATTACTGCCTTAACATGACATTGAAAAACTGTAACTCTTAAACATCCTTGGATATCTTTGGCATGCTTCTTTGTTTAAAACCCTGAGAATATCAGTTTGAGACATGCTCTAGAACACTCGACATGGTATAGCCAAGCATGCAACTAATTAATGCTGAATGTAGTTTGAATTATTTGTCTATTAAACTCAAAGTTCCTGTATTCGAAGGCTAAAGTAAGACAATATGTAATTTTCTAAAATTACAAAAATCCTCACGTCAATGAAAATATGCTGATGCCAGCAATTATGAAACAAAATGTGTATTTATTATATTCACAATTAACTCTGGAATAACTCAAAAGTTTTTCATGAAAGTCTATTTTTAGTAACATATCTGGAGTTTCAAATCAATACCTTACCCACAAAAGGTGCAGTATGAATTCAAAGTTGTGTGAATGCAAAAAAAAAAATTCTCTCCCCACCTGGGATAGAGCTAGTTGTTTGTGGATTGAAAACTGCATCCAATCTTTCAGATTTTCTTGTAAGAGAATATTCTTAAAATACCTGAGCCTTTTCTTACCCCTGGATTTTAAGGACTCTTGGTGATCTCATGATTTAAGGCCCAGGTTGCACCTCCTTGTTTGGGGTGAAATGATTAAAAAATATATATATTTCTTTTTACTTAAACATTTTAATAGATACATGTGTTTGTGTAGACACCCTGTTTAAAAAAAAAAAAAAAATTTGTATTACATTTAACAGCCTGTGTATTTGAGAGTCTTCCAGCAGGGTTCAAACCTGTGTCCCCTTTATAGGAGAAACCACTGTAATTCACTAAAAAGATTAAAAAAAATTAAAGAGCATCTACTTGGACACATGTATCCATTAAAATATATTTAAGTAATAAGAAATAAAATTGAATTAAAAATAAAAATCCAATAATTCTTTATAAATTACTTTGTTTACATTACAAATATGAAAATAAAATTAGTATATTTTGAAAAAATCTGAACAAGCCAATGTGTATTTCTTAAAAGTGTGGTTGAGCCCTATTGGGTTGTGAGGCTATCTGTTGTCAGGTATGTCAGATCCTATAGTGGTTTTGCCCATACCAAATGAGACAGGTTTGAAATCTGCTGGAGGGAACAATTTCAAAATAAGAATACATAGGCCGGTAGATAATATTCACACTATTTAAAAAAAACAAAAAATGCAGCACTACTTCCTCAAGGCATTTGATGTAGGCCTCTGTGTTGAGTCTAAGATTCTGTAGGAAGATGAATCGAATCAAAGTCACCATCACTAGTGATTACTCCAAACATCTTCATAATCACCATTAGACTCATCCAACTCTTTCCAAATCCTCTGCATGGTCCTTAGATTGAGACCCAAACACTCTGAAATGTTTGTATTGGAGGTTCCAGTGTGAATACCAAGCAGTACAACATGTCGTTTCCAAATTTATGGCAGAGTGAATTGCATCATGGTGCTCTTTTTCTCACAGATGGTACCTAACTGGCCCTACTATACTGTGCAGTCAACAAAATTAAAAATATAAAATCCCAACAATTTACCTATTGCACACTATATATCTTTCCAATTTCTGAATCCTTTCAACTACCAATAAATTAAAATTGTTCAAATGACTTATCTTGTGACCAACTCATTCATTTATCAATTGACTGAGAATTGTTCCTTGCTAAAAATTTTGCTCACCTTGAAAACATTAAACTCCAGTAGTTTTACGTGTTTTAATGGCTGTTATGAGATTATATATAATATAAATAATTGTTATTAAATTCCACCAACAAATTCAAACTTTTGATTATATCTTTCCTATCTCCAACTACTTTCAGCAATTCATTGTCAAGAAGTGGGTATTATCAGTATCGTAAATAAGATTTATTTAATTAAATTATGGTGTTTTTAGATTCATAGAATTAGCATAATTTACTCCAACATATCTTGCTTATCACAATACCATTTATTCCTGTCTCAGTAGTAAATCTGGCACTGCTGACAAAGTTAACCTGGCCATTGGTCTCAAAAAGGACTGCCAATCTGTGGTTAACTGGGGGAGGAAATAGCTTGTAAACTTTAATGCCTCCAAAATAAAACTGTGTCAATTACCCACCCGCAAGGAAAGTTGGTTCTCCCTTTCACGCCAGAAGGTTTTTCTCACCTGAGTCCATCCTTTAAATCTACCATTCATCGTTGCATTGAATACTGTTGCCATATATGGTCTGGTGCCCCCGCTGTTTATCTCAAAGTTCTCAACAAAATCCAAAAATGGATATGCAATGTGATAGGTCTTGACCTGGCATCTTGACTACAGTCATGTTCTCACAGATGTGATGTGGTTTCCCTCTGTCTTTTCTACAAATATTTTCATGGCAACTGCTCCGATGAGCTACT